CATGTTTCTCTAATTAATCACCCTGGTTAACAATGCAGTAACTATGAGCTATGTTATACATCATAACTATGTTTGGTATGTTAAATTAGCTTTCTTTTCTGAACAATTTTACACATCTTAGAATGTTACTTACTTCAAGGAGACAATAATAATTCTAACTATATAACACCTGTATTGTTCTACAAAATCTACCAACATATAAAGAACTATAAGAATGGCAGTGATCCACTTGACACAAGAAGAGCATATATAAATTGTGCAATTGTAAAAATTTGGAGCAAACAGAATGCTATTAACTAAATAGGTTTCTACAAGAACAAAAAAAGATGGAAGGTATTAACAATATTAATAAAATGCACAACAGTAAAAATCCTTCTATCTTCAAGGATATTATGTTAAACGTATTACTAGCAAAAGAAATTTTCCTTCAAATTTTACTATAAACTAAGTACTTTCAGAACAAAAATACCTGGATCATTAAAGTCATGAAAAAGTAAACAGCAGTACAAAATTCTATTGTAAAGAATTATATATAAGTTGTATCAAAACTATAATCAAGAGTAAACAGAACTAGAAATTTCTGCTATAAAAAAACAATTTAAAAGAATAGTGCACATGTGCTAATTTCTATAAATAACACTTTCACGTTACAATCAAACATAAGCACTAACTAAGATTAGAGGCAGTTTGATGTTTCATTAATATTACTTGTAGTAATAAGAACCAGTCTAATTCAGACTGTAATGAGACCTAGTCTGATTCAGTCTGTATTAAGAATCTAGACCTATTCAGTCTGTAATAAAACCCAGTCTGATTCATTTTTGCAATAGGACCTAGTCTAATTCAAACTGTAATAAAACACATCATGATTCAGTCTTTATCTTTTTAAAGCAGTCGTATGAAACAGCCAGACAAAACATTTGTATTTTATTTTTTACTTTTAGAATTATTTTAAGAAATTTCACGTTCTTTAAAAAAGTTACATTTTCCCTAAAGATAAATATATTTATACAAGAAAGATCGGGTGAAAAAAATTATATTTGGTTCATCTTTGAGCATGTATTGGTCTCAAAAATGTTTACCAACATAAATTAGAAGGATCCATTTAAAAACCTTTAATAATTGTATGTACACTCAGAAATTACATAGGCTGTAGGCAACAAATAAATTCTATTATCTCAGAAGAATTGCACATTTCTTGTTTTTAACCATTCTAAGTTCTAATAAAAAGAATAATTTCATAATATTAAGAACCATAACAAAATTTTTGGTACTCAAATAACTTCTTCGACAAATACCTATACTAGAATTTAGTTGCATCAATATATATTATATACTTAGTTTAAATGAGATTCTCATAGTTTAAGGTGGTCTTAAAAACAGATACAGAAAAGTTGACCTTAATATTAATGGTAACTACAATTATATAGCAGTTTCTTGACTAAGAGAATAATAAACAAGGAAAAATAATATTAAAGATCACTATGATTTACTGACGGAAAGGACTAGAAAAATCATTGTTCCTCATTAGCTTTAGCTTTAACAACTGGCTCATATCAACATTAAATTACTATGAAGAAAGCTTTACTGTCATGAGCAGATGATAGGAGTAAATATTGTGGCCCAACAAATCTTGTAGTTTAAAATCAATGGTGCTCATTTGTGACTTTCCTGAGTTTTACACTGTTTCAAATTGTACCTCTTTCTCCAAAAACAACAGGAATCATTTATCATGTATACACGTTTTTTTTTTGTTAAAGGTACATAGAATCTATATTGCAAATGAAGAAAGCCATATAATGAATTTGCCCATAAATATTTGTTTGAGTTATACAAAATATTCTCTTATTTCATTACAATAATAAGTATACAGAAATTTTCCAGTTTCAATCTTATACCTCATTATAAATACATCCATTCACTCTGTATTTTGTTTGAATACTTTTGGGGTTATGTACAGTTTTACAAGTTGAAAGCATATAACCAAATGACACACATTCTTGTAACTTTTAAGTCTATTATTCTGACATAGATTGTAAATACATTGAACTTACAGTAAAGATTAGTTGGATTAAACTGAAGGATATGGGTGCTGGAGATGGGGGGGGGGGAGATGAAACAGGCCATTGCCCACCCATTTTTTTAAAAAGGTAGTCCTGTCCTCCCCACTTTTAACAGCAAAAGTATAATTTTTTAAAATAAAACTTTTAACAATGTATGAACGAAATTTATTGTAACTATACACATTTCAATCTTTGTATAATCTATTAACAAACTGTCTTTGCACAGGAGAGAAATTTATTTCCTCATTCTGAATAAAAACTCCAATAGGAGGCTGAAAATTGACAATTAGGGCCAAAGTTTTTAGTTTATTTATTTCATCCAAACAAATCTTTCACAATTTTCCATTTGGCTGGTTCCGCCACTTTTGTAGTAATTTTCTGGCACCACAGCTTAAGAAGTTTTCATGTTTATCTTTTTGATAAAAAAAAAATTAGTTCTGAAAAACCATTCTACAATTTATGTCTGAAAAATAACTAATTACAAATAGTTAAACTGGTTAGCATAACACACTTTTGCATCCAGGCTCAAAACTAGAGTAATCTCTATATTGACATTAATGTTATTCAAGTTTGAAATTTAACAATTTAAAAAATTTTCATGTAAATTATAGGACAAAAATAATGTTGAACTGTGAACAAAAAAAAAAAAAAAA